TAGGGAAAATCCGCCCTCTATCGGATAACTCTCAAACTACAACACACCTGAAAAACCACACACACACACACACACACACTTTTTTAATTGGCCATTATAATACCCATAAAACGAATGAAATATCTACAAAGTCATCATTATGCTTTATAAACCATAGAATAGAGCCATCATAAGGAGATTTAGGTCATTTTCCTTACAAAAAACAAGCTAGGCCTATTCCACTGTCAGTGTCACACAATCATGTTCCTTCACAGAAGAAGCCAAACTACTTGTGTAATCATTGTCAGGAGTGATCGTGGTTAAATTGATGGTGACGCAAGAGTCTTAGGACACAGCTGTGTGATTCTTTTGCATGTACAAGGCCTATCCTGCACATTAAGTGACTGGTAACATCAGGGTTTTGTCACGGAGGCCACACCACCAATTGGTATAAATTCAAAGTCTCTAGAAGTAGTCTTGAAGCACATGTTGCTCTTTGAACATGGCTAAGGTGAAGGAGGAGCTAATGAGTGAGCAACGGGTTCGAATAAAGGCTGGAGTTACCGCCGCATAGCCAAGAACGTGAGATGCAGTCCAAGCACTGTAAAGTACACTTTAGACCGCCATGATGCCACCAATTCACACCAGAACCGAAAGGGGAGAGGTAGAAAAAAAAGAGAGAAACTTTCAGACAGACAAGTGAAGCATCTCAAAATTCTCAGAACTGCGTGACGAGATCAACACCACAATGACTAATGGTGCAACAGTGTCTTCAAGAACTGTGCGTCGGAAACTGGGAGAACGAGGACTTGTTGGCAGAATAGCAGCAAAGAAACCATTACTGAAAGAGAAAAAGAGAGTGAAACACCGGAAATTTGCACAAGAACTGGACAAAGGAAGATTGGTCTAAAGACTGATGAGTCCAAGTTTGAACTGTTTGGCAACAACTAAGAGTGTATGTTCGACAGAGAGAGAGGGAGAGATATAAAAATGAGTGTCTGTTGCCAACAGTTAAACACGGAGGGAGTAGTATTATGGTGTTGGGTGCTATTTCAGCCTCAGGAACAGGTGACTTAGTGAAAATTGATGATGAATACCACAACATTCTGAGGCACGGAGTATCATCTGGGAGTCATCTTATTGGGCCTGGATTTATTTTCCAAGAGGACAATGACCCTAAACATTCTTCTAACTATTGCAGGAACCATCTGTGATGGGAGGAATCTGCTGGAACATTGAAAATGATGGACTGGCCCCCTCAAAGTCTGGACCTCAACCCCATCGAGCAAATTTGGGGAAATAAACTGGACAGATGTATTGTACATTCAAAGGAAAGCCTTTGGCTTGATGGGATAACATTAGTGTTGAACACTATGCCAGAGAGATGTGCTGCAGAAGGTGGACATACCAAATATGTGGCCCTGGAGCACAAAAGCAGTCTTAAGTCGCTGGGGTATATTTGTAGCAATAGCCAACAATACATTGTATGGGTCAGAATTATAGATTTTTCTTTTATGCCAAAAATCATTAGGATATTCAGTAAAGATCATGTTCCATGAAGATATTTTGTAAATTTCCTACCGTAAATATATCAAAACTTAATTTTTGATTAGTAATATGCATTGCTAAGAACTTCATTTGGACAACTTTAAAGATGATTTTCTCAATATTTTGATTTTTTTGCACCCTCAGATTCCAGATTTTCAAATAGTTGCATCTCGACCAAATATTGTCCGATCATAACAAACCATACATCGATGGAAAGCTGATTTTAATCTCAATTTTAAAAAAATTGGACTGGTTTTGTACTCCAGGGTCACATATTAAGAGTTAAAAGTGGATAAAAACAGTACGACTCGCTTCATCTATCGATATTTGTTGTGCTCAGAGCAACCATCTGCATGTTTCATGAACATTATGAAATGATTGTTCCTGCAATAAATCATTTTTTGCCACAATTGCACATACAATTGGAGCTCTACATTTATCTAGGGAGTTAGAAACTGCTTAAAGTGTCCTAGAGACGTAGGAGCGTGAAGGCGATGTATACACATATATATATATATATATATATATATATATATTTATAGAAATACAGCTATAATAAAATTGAAATATAAATAACTTAAACTAATTTCAGTTAATTGCCGAGGCAACATTACTAATTTCGTTACTAAAATTACTAACTGGAATAAAATGTATAAAATTGAAATAAAAATAATCATAAATAGTAATACTTAAAAAAAATAATAAAAATGACAAAAGCATAAAACAAAATGACTAAAAATGTAACTAGAATTAAAACAAACACTAAAAGTATGAAAACTGAAAGGTAATTCAAAAACTATAATAGTATATAAATAATACTAAAATAACAAGGGACAACGAGGGGCTCGTTGTTGACAAACTGCTTGAGAACACAGACATTTTATGTGTACAGGAAACAAGATCTGGACAAACTTAACTCTGTTAAAAGTGTCTTTCACGGGGTGGGAGAGTCCACAACAGACTTGAGTTTGGGGTTTGTGCACGGTAGAATATCTGGTGGAGTGGCCATTATGTGGCATATGAAATATGATCCTGTAATCACAGTGATTAGATTGAATGTTGATTGGTGTATAGGAATAAAAGTAGCCATCGACAATAATGTTTTTATTATTTTAAATGTTTATATACCCTATGAATGTCCTGGTAATGAGGATGAATTTATTCAAAGGCTTGCTTTTATAGGCTCTTTTATTGAAAAGAGTGAATGCACTTGTATCGATGTAATGGGAGATTTTAATGCAGATGTTTCTGATGTGAAATCTTTGTTTGGCCAGTACTTGGTTAGGTTTTGTCAGGATAATAGTTTAATTCTGTCAAGTTTGGATCTGTTGCCAACTGACAGCTACACATATGTCAGTGAGGCCTGGAATACAACTTCATGGCTGGATCACTGCAATATGCACTGTTGATGCTCATGAAAGTATAGTAAATGTTGAAATCTTGTATGGAGCAGCTGCAACAGATCACATGCCTATTTCTGTGATGCTAAATATAGAAAAATTACCTGAGATAACCAAAAAGGGTAATGATACCCATGATGGGAGAGTTGAGTGGGCTAAGCTCACAGATTGTGATATGCAGCATTATTATAACTTGACTGATGAGTCTCTGGGGAATATTCAAATTCCATATGATGTATTTTTGTGTGATAATATTAATTGTGATAACTCAAACCATAATGATGATTTGTGTAACATGTATGATGAAATTGTGATGGTACTAAACAATGCAAGCAAATAATTTTGTAACAAAAGATCTAAACGATATAGTATTAGACCAGGATGGAATGAGCATGTGAGTAAACTCCATCAGCAAGCAAGGGAAGCCTTTAAAAACTGGGTTGCTGCTGGAAAACCAAGGAATGGTTTTTTTTGTGATGTAAAGAAACAAGCTGTCACACAGTTTAAATATACTGTTCGCTTCATAAAAAGGAGCGAACATACTCTCAGAGTTAATTCTTTGGCTCAGAAATTATTACAAAATGATATACAAGATTTCTGGAAAGAAGTTAAAGTCATGAATGCTAGTAAAATTCCTCTGCCCTCTAGTGTTGAAGGGGTTACTGGATATGAAAATATTGCAGATCTTTGGAGAAAGCATTATAGTGACCTATTCAATTGTGTTAAAAGTGACGATTTCATTATTGGGAATGTGTCTTTTAATAATGAGGTTATCAAGGCTGAGGAAGTAGCTTCTGCTATAGGAAAATTAGTTCTGAATAAATCTTGTGGCCTAGATCAGATCACAGCAGAGCATTTGAAATTTGCTAGTCACAGACTTGTTGTTTTATTGGCCTTGTGTTTTACTGGAATGTTGATTCATGGCACATTGCCCAGTTCTATGCTTTCTGTTTTGCTGGTACCTGTAATTAAAGACAAAACAGGGAAACATCAGCAACCCAAATCATTTTTAATGTAAATGCATTCATTGTATGATGTCTTACACATTTATTACAGCTATTTTTGTTTTTAACGTGGATTTGATTTTTAGCAGTCATAATGATTCCACTTTAGAATTTATTAATTTAAATAAATTTCTATTAATTTATGAAGTTAATTCAAGGTTTCCCAAAATGGGGTTTGCATGGGGAAGGAATGAATAATTTATTAAACACTAAAATATAAAATAAAATAATTTTAAAACATTTACTGAAAAAGAATAAATATTTGTTAACGTGCATGTCATGTGACCATTAACCAACATCAGAGAAACGTGAACATGTGAATGAATGTGCTGTTAAAGTATTAAAAAAAATGTACTTATAGGTTAACTATTCCTTTAATAGGAATAAAGTAAAAAAAAAAAATTAAAACTACTGGGCTTTAAATACTACATCTGATCTGGCCAACAGCATATTTGTGACCCTGGAACACAAAACCAGTCATAAGGGTCAATTTTTTGAAATTGAGATTTATGCATCATCTGAAAGCTGAATAAATAAGCTTTCCATTGATGTATGGTTTGTTAGGATAGAACAATATTTGGCCCAGATACAACTATTTGAAAATCTGGAATCTGAGGGTGCAAAAAAATCTAAATATTGAGAAAATCGCCTTTAAAGTTGTCCAAATGAAGTTCTTAGCAATGCATATTACGAATCAAATTAAGTTTAATATATTTACAGAAGGAAATTTATAAAATATCTTCATGGAACATGATCTTTACTTAATATCCTAATGATTTTTGGCATAAAAGAAAAATCTATAATTTTGACCCATACAATGTATTTTTGGCTATTGCTACAAATATACCCCAGCGACTTAAGACTGCTTTTGTGCTCCAGGGTCACATTTATGAATTGATGTGGATTGGGCCACTTTTCAACATTGATATGATGGCCAAAAAGTGGCCCAACTTACCTGCATTCACATATATGACATGATTTCATCTGAAAATGATGAACCTCTTAATAATCACTCAGTCTAGTAAAGGAAATCATATATACTTTGTAAAAGAAGCGGCCACACAGGAGGTTCTGACGCTACTCTTTAATCATCACAGCTGCTCATCAGAAAACCTTCTTCAGGTACATCAGTGATTTCAGTGCATGCGTGACGAGTTCAGCTCCTCTCTGCTCTGCGGCTGGACATCGGAGGGGTTTCCCAGAGAATTTGCACGCCGGAGGACATCAGGCCGTCCCCTCCTGAGCACAGGCTTGAGGAACGGCCGTCACAGATCTGGGCTTCACCCTGCCAACATCCAGCCATCGACCAGAGAGGAGACGGGTGTCTACAAACACATGGGACGGAGATCGGATTCGATCCAAAAGGCTACAGGTACTTGGGAAGATCCTTTTCAACAACCTGATGGGACAAATAAAACATTGGATTTTATTTATTTAATCTTTAATTATTATACACTTGTGTATAATGAATAAAACTAACGTAATTTCTTATTTAATTTTTATAAATATAAAAATTTTATACATTTCTATAAAATTAAAACAAATACAAATGTAGTTAATTTTTGTAAATATAAAATTTTCATATTTTTAATAAAATTTAAAACGCATACAAATAAATGTAATAAAATAAATAGTTTAATTTTGATAAATTACAGAAATTCATGTTTTTTATAACATTTTAAACAAACACATTTAAATTGAAAACAAAGACAAATAAATGTAATCGTTTAATTTTTTATAAATCTACCAAATTTATGTTAAATTTTTTAAAAAGTAAAACATATATTATGCAAATATTGTATACAATTTTATAAATTGTATTTACATTTTAATAAATTTAATAAAATTATAAATTCATAATTTGAAACCAAAACAGATAAATGTAATAAAATAATGTAATTATACATATAAAAAAAAATTAAAATTAAATATTTGAAACATTTTTTTATAAACATATATATATATATATATTTGAAACAAAGATTTTCTTGAGTAAATTTTTCTCAAATTCCACATATTAAAGGATTATTTATTCACCCTTATGCCGCTTCAAACCCATATGACTCTGAATGACATGAGGGTGAGTAAATGACGACACAATGTCATTTTTGGGTGAAATTATTCTTCATTGACTTACGCTTGGATCGTCCATCGGTCCGTACCTCTTCACGACCTGACCTTCTCTGTCAATGAGGAACTAAGACAAAAACAACAGTTTTGAGTTCACAATATTAGGGCAGAGAATCAGAGAATAAATATGATCTATTAACATACAATAAAAAAAAAACAGTTACCTTAGTGAAATTCCACTTGATGTTGCTGTGGGAAAAAAAAATTAATAATAATAATAATAATAATACGTTCATCAAAATGAAAAGAAACACATTTATTGTCAAGTACAAATGTCAAATTCCATATATTCAAGGATTACACAGTCCTGCATCTTAATAAAATATTTCTGCTGATCTGCATTAGAGAATAAGTGCCAAATATGAATACACAAACCAGTCAAACTCACTTTCCCAGAGTGCCTCTGCCTTTGGGCTGCTCTTTCATCCATTTCCAGAGCGGATGAGCTCCGTCGCCGTTCACCTCAATCTTACTGAAGAGCTGAAACTCTGCGTTGTAGCCTTCGGCAAACTCCTTGATCTCCGCCTCTGTTCCAGGCTCCTGTATAACACACGACAGCTCGAGAACTCTGAAATCTGAATGTGACCAAAAGCCGCCTGGACAGAATAACACCAGTCTTAAAGCTGAAGAACATGAGTATATGACGACTGGAAATCAGTGAAGAGTCAAGATACAGTGGTTGTAAATGGTTAATAATATGCGGGGAAGATCAGAGTCATTTGCAGTTCCGTATGCAAATATTGTGATGACGTCATCGCCGCTGGTTACATTCTGAAACTGAACATTCTATGGAAGTCAGACGGAGATTTTATTTAAACTTGAATCATAATGTTTGAGGAACACTGTAATATTAATAACCATAATAGCACCCAATGTTTCATACATTCATTTCTTAAGCAAAATACATTCCTTGGCCTATTTTTATGAAGAAGAAAAAAACCCAGATGCCAATTTTACTTTTGGCACAGCAGCATGTGATGGAGCAATGCCTGAGCAAGCATATGAGACATTAAATGTGTCTGAAAACTACAACTATTAAAAACATTTTTGGTAATTGAAATACATACATACAGTACATACATTACATATTTTTTATTTTTATTTATGTGACAAACTTCAAACGAAAACCAGAAATATTACCGTGGCAACTAACTGAAATAAAAATTACAAAAAAGAAGAAAAAAAAAAAAAACACTACATCTGAAGCACTAAAATTACTGATTGGAAATAAATAAAATCTACAACAAAATAAAAAATAAACCTAATGTTTAAAAATAATAACAAAATTACTTCAAATTAAACAAATTAAAATGAAAACTGATCATGCAAATAAATGAATTTTACATCTCTTGTTGGAAGATTAAATCTCACCCCACAACAGAAAATAACCCACTTACAGCTTCAGTCACGTGACCTACTTACAGTCGTGACAGTGAGCGCTCTTACAGTCTGTGCAGCAGAACAAGTGTTCAGGACTGAATGGGCTTTAATTCACAATATTACGCCACAGCAATGTCTTCCTTTTTCTGAAGCATGTATGCATTGCACAGAACGCTCATCTTCTGTATGCATGGAATACTGTATCCCATAATGCAACATGCTTAAATTGACCTTTCTTTTTTTTAACCTGAAGCAGTATTAAAGATTTCAATATTTACTCTTTATTGACTCATTACAATTTTTACACAAAACTGGAAGAAAAAGCAAAAATAAAATCAATTTTGAGATGCAAACTGGATGCCACTCGCTGGATTAAACATGCAACGTAATCAGATCATGTGGTGGCACTATATTATACAATACCACGATTTAAAATCTTGCATTGCATACTATTTAGTACGCAGAAGAGAGTATATAACGCACTACACACTGGCGTTCAATTCCTGTACATACCTGCTTTCCAAACTGGTTGCAGGGGAAGCCCAGGATGCGTAAACCTTTCTCAGCGTACGTGGCGTGCATTGCCGCAAACTGAGTGTAGTTTACGGGAGTCTTACCTCATTTAGAGGCTACGTTAGTGATGATGCACACACAACCCCTGAAACACACACAAACACACTTCTGACACCACGACCCAGATTCACAGAGCAAGATCACACTCAGCCAAAGACTAAAAATAACAATGCACAATGAAGAATGAAGAATGAGCATTAGGGGTATAATGTAGGTGAGGACAGCTGCTAAAGGAATAGTTCAGCCAAAAATTCAAATTTGCTGAAAATACGCTAACCCTCGGGCCATGCAAGATGTAGTTGAGTTTGTTTCTTCATCAGATTTGGAGAAATGCAGCATTGCATCAGTGTCTCAGCAATGGATCCTCTGCAGTGAATGGGTGCCGTCAGAGTGAGAGGCCAAAAGCTGATAAAAACATCACAATAATCCACAGCACTCCAGTCCATCAGTTAGTGTCTTGAGAAGATGTTTACAAGCAAAAACAGTTCAAAACAGCTCTAAACAAATATGTGGCTCGATTTTGATGTGAGAGACAACAGGAGATGGACTTTTTCACTGCAGGAAGCGTTATTATGGACTCATATTTTAGCCAGAAGCGACGATTTGAAGTTAAAAACATCTTAATGATGGATTTGTTTCAGCTTTTGTCTTCTCCAGATGTTAACTGATGGACTGGAGTGGTGTGGATTACTTGTGGATTATTGTGATGTTTTTATCAGCTGTTTGGACTCTCATTCTGACGGCACCCATTCACTGCAGAGCATCCACTGGTGAGCAAGTGATGCAATGCTACATTTCTCCAAATCTGATGAAGAAACAAACTCATCCTAATCTAGGATGGCCTGAGAGTAAGTAAATGTTCAGCAAATTTTTATTTTTGGGTGAACTGTTCCTTTAAGCATCGCCACTGAATAAATGCAAGATAAAAAGTTTCTCTGAAGAGGTGCAAAACTCTCCAGCATGATGCCTTATACAGAATACATAATATCAGGATTATTAGACAACTAGATTAGAAAGCAAGATAGAGAAGAGAAGAAATGCAGAGAATAGAAGTTTTGTTGTTGTAATTAAACAATGTTAGTTTAATACTTCGGGGTTTATTCAGATCAGTAACCCTAAATATGAGCATTAGTAAAGTTATAAAGAAGCTTGAGCAAATCAAACCAACTGTTTATAAATGCAGTGATCTGTTCACCTGTATTTCTCCAGAGACACTTCATTTCCATCGCTGTCTTTGGCTGAGAACTCGTATATGGATTTGGCCGACTGCCAGTCGTTGGCTTGGGCACACTGCCATAAACAGAGAGAGGTCAAAGGTCACGGGGCAAGACGAGTGTCTGCCAATCCCATCAAACTGATACACAATCATCTGCAAATCTATTCTGCAACTTCCTCGTGTGACAGCATAACTGATGAAATCTCACATTACAAGTCATCTTTGCCCTCTGACATAGTTCTGTGTGATTTTTTGCTTGCGTATGCAGCACAAGAAACTTTATATGACTTTATTTGGGCTTCAGCATTAAAATGAGCTAGACACACTTTATAATAATTTTATCATGCGAGATGGACAATTATACAAAAATACTTGAGAAAATATAGCTGTAAATTTCATGTATGATTATCATAATAGAGAATAACACTGACTTTACTACAGATCTGAGAGAGCAAACGAAACACTGCGATTATGCCTATGGAGGCACTTTATGACAGCCAACATAAGTTAGTTAAACTAATTCAATTCTTTTAATAAATCACATTACACATTAATCTGGAGTGATTTTTATGTTGCATACTAATATTAAGACATCAAATATTTTAGATTATATTAATGCACCTGCAACACCCTACAATAAAACATGCATCACACTCACTGGTGTATTTAGGAAACATGCATTGACATTTAATAAAACCTAAATAATATAATAATCTTTGAATACTACTGATAATAAAATCCATTCCAAATAAATAATTTATAGTTGATTACTCTTAATAAAATCAACGTTATCACTGGTTAGTCTTAATAATAAACCCACATAACTGCGTAACTGATGATTAACTTACTTTTAATAATAAACCTAGATAATGACATTATCATTGACTATTCCTGGTTGACAAACCAGGCCTAAAAACTCCGTCTGCTGTCTTTTTGTTAAAAATACACGAACAAAACGAATATAAATTGATTTTAAGGCACAACTAAACCCACAGTCATGATTACATAATTAAAGCTAACGGCTAACACCGGAGTGAATTAGCGGAGACACACCGGTGCCACAAATAAACACGCCGGACTTTGACCTACTAACAGCAACTACGTTAACTAGCTGTCCGACAACACAAGTTAGTCTAAACACTGGTTAAACAGCAGGTGAAGGTGTTCTCTGGTATCTTACCATGGCTCTAGCGAAGTTCTTGCTCCCCAGCGCCCGCTGAAACAATCACATAGCACTGCGGCACGAAGCCCCGCCCATCTACGGGCAAGACACGCCTTTTCTGTCAGCCTCGGCCAATCAGAAACGCCTTATGCAAAAACGTGCATTGCGTATATATTTATTCGTTATTAAAGTACAAAAAACCCGCCACAGTTTACATATCATCTCTCATTCATTTCTCAACAACTCTATATTCATGAAAAATATTTTATTTTAAATATATTTTATTAAATATACGTCTCCAAACAGGTGCTGTGGTCTTTGGTCTCAATAAAATACATTTTTTATGTTTATTATTTCATTACAATTGCAAAATGTATCAATGAAAAGTAGTTCAAATATATATAAACAATATTTGATATTTAAATATTAAATGAAAATAAAACTACATTTATTACTTTACTTTTACTTTTTTAGTCATTTAGCAGACGCTTTCAAAATTTAAATATATGCACATGCTCACATGCCAGGACTGCGGTAAAACCATAGGGTAAAACCGGGTAAACCCTTATTTTGTGCCTGGCAATGAATTCGACACCACCCAGGGGTCCTTCAGCTCCTCTGTGAGCACGTGACTGATGACAGGAAGTTGAGGTTTGAAAGCAAGCATGTTGTTTTAGAACCTTCAGTCAAACGCGCTGATGGATGACGAGGAGGAAACTTATCGATTATGGAAAATCCGTAAGACCATAATGCAGGTGTGTAAACTCTTCTGCGTCTATAACTCTCGCTTGGTAGTGGTTTACATTAAACACGTGGTCATAAGAGAAACAGAACCGTGTATGTAAAGTCAAATCGTTTACACAGGCATGGAACAAGACGAAAAACGAATCTAAAATTGCTTGCGTATTCAGCACAAGAAACTTTATATGACTTTATTTGGGCTTCAGCATTAAAATGAGCTAGACACACTTTAGAATATAGTGATAATGTCTAGAGCTCTTGACGCAGATCTTCCGTCTGTGTGATGGTGTACAGAAAACACGGCTGTCAGACAGGATTCATCACACTTACGGGAAACACGTAAACATCCTACAGCTGAGACTAGTCAAAGCTAAACAGATCTGAGAGGCTTACCTGAGAGTTAAGACTATATGCCTCTATATGACAGATTCAAAAATACATTTGATCATGAACAATTATACAAAAAATATAGCTGTAAATTTAATGCATGATCATCATAATTGAGAATAACACTGACTTTACTACAGATCTGAGAGAGCAAACGAAACACTGCGATTATGCCTATGGAGGCACTTTATGACAGCCAACATAAGTTACAGAACCGTGTATGTAAAGTCAAATCGTTTACACAGGCATGGAACAAGACGAAAAACGAATCTAAAATCAAATAGAATTATGAATACGGTGAAATTATAGGAATAATGGCGAGATTCAGTAACAGACATTGACTGTAGCAGAGAACTCGCATATAAACGTGAATCCACAAAATTAAGAGAATATAAACATTAGAATCAATTTCACACATTTTAGACCAGAAAATAGAATTATGAATACGGTGAAATTATAGGAATAATGGCGAGATTCAGTAACAGACATTGACTGTAGCAGGAGAACTCGCATATAAACGTGAATCCACAAAATTAAGAGAATATAAACATTAGAATCAATTTCACACATTTTAGACCAGGAGTCTAAAGATCTAAAATAAATAAAAATGATTAAAATAAATGTTTAACAATGATTGAAATAATACATAACAGTGCTGTACTATAGTGGATAGAAAAAAAAGTAAACTAAATATTTTCCAAATAATATTTTATGCTTATTAATAATATTAAATTGGGTCTTTATACATTTAAAAAAGGTAAATGCACAAAATCAAGAGAATATAAACATTAGTATAAATTAAACACATTTTAGATCAGGGGTTTTCAAACAGGTCTGCAAAAGAAGAGGAAACTGTGTAAAAAAAAAAAAAAAAAAGATCAAACGAATTAAAATTTAATTTAAAATAAATGTAAAAAAAATCTTAAAGTACATTAATAATTATTAATAATAATAATAAAAACATTTAAATAAATACATAACTGTACAGCACTTCAGTGAATAGAAAAAAATTTAATAATGGAAACTATATATTTTTTTCTAATTATATTTTACACATTTATCATATACATTTTTCACAGGATAAACTGGGTCTTCATACATAAAAATATATGTGACCCTGGAGCACAAAAGCAGTCTTAAGTCGCTGGGGTATATTTGTAAATTTGAACAACTTTAAAGATGATTTTCTCAATATTTAGATTTTTTTGCACCCTCAGATTCCAGATTTTCAAATAGTTGTATCTCAGCCAAATATTGTTCTATCCTAACAAACCATACATCAATGGAAAGCTTATTTATTCAGCTTTCAGATGCATAAATCTCAATTTCAAAAAATTGACGCTTATGACTCGTTTTTGTGCTCCAGGGTCACATACAGCTGCCTTTTAAATTTCAGGATGCTTAGCTGCATTCATAATGCACATGAAATGAACCCTCACTTGAATGTCGTCTTGTGTTGCTGTAGCTCTGCCATGATCGGGGATATCTGGTGACCCAAGATGAGCTGGACCAGACCTCGGATGAGTTTAAAGGTCAGTTTGGTGACAGGCCCAGCGAGGGTCGACCCAGACGGACAGACCTCACTGTGCTGGTGGCCCACAATGACGACCCCACCGACCAGATGTTCGTGTTCTTTCCAGGTGAGATGTGATGCAGGAGTCTGTGTGACACTCAGCGTTTCATGTGTGCTTATCTGAGTGCTTTGTGTCCAACAGAGGAGACGAAAGTGGGCATCAAGACCATTAAGATGTACTGCCAGCGGATGCAGGAAGAAAACATCACTCGGGCCATTATCGTAGTCCAGACAGGCATGACGCCCTCTGCTAAACAAGTACGACAAAGATCTCGCCTGAAACCCTAAACACAGCTGATTAGGTGCCAGGCAAGCAGATGGATAGATAATTAGTGGCTTGAACTATATCAGCTGACCTGTTTTACCTGATGATTTTGCAGTCTTTGGTTGATATGGCACCAAAATACATCCTGGAACAGTTTCTACAGCAAGAGCTGCTCATAAACATCACCGAGCACGAGGTGAGACGCGTTACATGCGGAAAAAACGAAAATCTTTCTCTCTCTCTTTTTTTTTTTAATTCTAAAATTTAAAAAAAATTATTTTCGAAATCTTAATTTTTTTCTAACAAAATGTAGTAAAAGAGAAGCAAAAATAACACATTCTATTATTTGAATTGTATAAGCTCGATTTATTTAAAAAAAGTCATATTGAGATTTGTTATATGAACACATATTTTGCGATTTAAACTGGGATGATGCACATTTAACATCTGCTGTTAAAAGAACAAAAAATACTAAATTATAATTTTGTCTCAATCTATTTATTAGTATAATTATAACCCAAGCTCAAAAAATATTTTAGATATAAATATTTAAAATATTTGTTATTTAAAAACATTAATAATATAATTATTAATATAAAAATTTTTATATTATTATTTATAAAAAAATCATATTGGAATTTGTTAAATTAAAATCTGTTGTTAAAAGAACAAAAACTGCTAAATTATAATTTTCTCTCATTCTAATTATTAGAATACATTTTATAATACAAATATTGATTAAAATATATATTAAATTCAATTAAATTTATGCATTTAGCAGACACTTTTATCTAAAGCGACTTACTTTATATTATTTAAAACATTAATAATATAAATATAAAAATTATGAATATAAATATTTATTAAAAACCATATTGAGATTTGTTATATTAATAAATATTGTGATCTGTTAAAACAACAAAAACTACTAAATTATAATCTTGTCTCTCGTTCTTAATTTTAACCCAAGCACAAAACATATGTTATATTTTTACTAAATAAATAAATAAATATATATATATTAGTTGTTGTTTGAGTGAGAGAACATCCTGTAACTTAAGTGCAGTTTGGGGAAAATTGTAATGTTACATTTTTATTTCTATTATGAAATAAAATTTTACATTGAAAAAAGTAGATTTTTGTTTGTATATGCTGTTAATTATAGTTCTTAGAAAGAAAATCGTAATTGACAAATCTGTATCGGCAGATCACACTTACCAAAAAAATCTGAATCGGATGAGAAAAGTGCACTCGGTGCATCTCTACAGGAAATCTTTAATTTATTCATGATTGGTTCTGTCTTTCTCCTTCAGTTGGTCCCTGAACACATTGTTATGACGAGAGAGGAAGTGACAGAGCTGCTGGCCAGATAGTATCCATAGCAACGGCCCGTGTGTGAAGCCATACTTTTAAAAGTGTCAGACGGAATTACAAAAGCGATTGTTTCCAGACAGGTTTCCCAAACACTCTCCTCTCTGCCATTGGTCAGAAAAACAGGTCGTCCTGCCCCAAACTCACTCACTGTTGACTATCTAGTAGACTGGGATAAGAGAAAGTATTGTAACACACTTCACCTGTAAACAGCAGATTGATTAGTATTTGGCTCCTCTCTGTTAACCACTTTTCTTGACAGCAATCAGTAAACTCAAGGAGACACAGTTACCCAGAATTCAGTCTAATGATCCCGTGGCACGCTATTTCGGGCTGAAACGAGGGCAGGTAAATCTGAAAAGTTTAACGCAATCTTTGTGTTACTTTAAGCTGAAATCTGGTGCTTTACTATTAAAGGAATGAGAGAATATATTGTTTGAACTGTATAAGTCTGGGGTGTTAATTTTGTCAGCTATTTTCATTTTAGTCTTAGTCTTAGTCCCGTGTTAAAATGTCCTTGTTAGATTTGATCTTATTTAGTCAACCTTATCCTATTTAGTTTTAGTCAAGTTTTAGTCGACTAAAAGTCTCAACATTTTAGTCTAGTTTTAGTCAATGGTTGATTATGCAATCATGGTTAGTCATGGTTGCCAGATTGCTTAAAATAAGCAAAACACTGTGCAGAAAATGTATCAATGTAACAGCGAAGCTCTGATTCGGGGATTTGAACTCTTGATATCTGGCAACCGCACTCATGAAAGCTCGCGTAGTAGAGGCGTGTAGAGCGGTCTGCAATAACATTTTGTCTCCTTTTTTGACGAAAATAAAAAGAGGTTTTTGGTAGGGCAGCACGATTAATCGAATGCGATGGTCATGCGCATTTTGATAGTAATGCCGGTTCTGTAATCAGCAGAAAATCATCATCATGTGCTTTCAGATGGAGCAGAATTTACTACACATAGCCGTAGTTCACTGACAAGTTACGCAAAAAAAATCGCAAACAATATTATTGCGCGATTATGAAATCGAAGAAATCGTTCGTGATAATGACAGCTGTTTGCATAGCTTCTCAGTGAACTACGGCTCTGTGAAGTAAATGCTGCTCCATCTGAAAGCATGTGAAAATACCACATTTAATAACATATTTTTACTCCAAACTCACTTCATAACGTCAGTCGAGTGTTTGAAATAAATCCTTCTGTGAGATGATGTGGCTTCTTACACAGAATAAGGCACGCAACATATTTCATAGTATTTAAGCAGTGATAAAGGCATTGCATTATAAATATACTTTATTTTAATGAAAATTATAATAAGAAGAACTCGGATAAACCGTATATTGCCGTAGTCGTGTGTTTATTAGTCACGTTGAATCAATGAAAGCAGTTGAATCTTCTGTTTATTCAGCTGCAACGATTTTCTGGGTTTCTTCTGCGGGGTGTATTTGGAGTTTCAGTGCGAGAGCGCCCTCTGGCCTTTGGATGGAGATTTACTGCTGATCACAGAACCGTGCTTCACTGAAAGATACGCATGACAATCGCAGCTTCTGTCGAATCGCGATCTTGATTCCATTTCGATTTATCGTGCAGCCCTAGTTTTTGGTAAAGTTTTTATTTTTTTAAATACATTTTAGTCTCGTCTTATTTCGTCAATGAAATTGCATGTTGATATAGTCATAGTTATCGTTCATTGACCTTATTATTGTCTCGTCTTAGTCATGGGAAAAAAGCTCATCAATGAACATTTTTTGTCATAGTCTTCGTTAACGAAATTAACACTAATATCAGCGTTGAAAAGCACCCACTGGTGGAGCAGTATTTAGTTATAAAGGTGCTGATTTCTGTCTAACAGGTGGTGAAGATCATCCGGCCGAGTGAAACAGCTGGACGCTACATCACATACAGACTCGTACAGTGAAGACCAGCCTCAGCGTTTTGTTATTTTCATTTGATGTAAAGCTCAAGAGCTACAGATTTGTGTTTGTCATGTGATGTGTTTTTTGTTTGTTTTATAACGGATGATTCTTGTGATGGACGGCAGCAATTATGAATTTAGGTTTATCTTTAATTTCCATAAAACTTGAATCTTGGATTTGTTTTTGTTTTTTTTGCAAAATAAAAAAATTAATACATTTTTGTTTAATGAATGGTTTCGTTACTGTGTTGTAAATATTTTCACGCATTAATGGCAAAAAAAAGTTAAATCCCAACTTAAGTATATTTTTATATATATATTTTAATACATATTGAATAATATTATTTTGTCACCACATTTAATTCAAAAATATTTAAAATAATAAAGATGGAAATATTATTTAAATATTTATTAATTCTAATTATATTATTTCTAATATATAGTCCACCATATTCCAGATCTGTCAAACCTGGCAGCAATTATGAATTTAATTTTATCTTTAATTTCCATAAAACTTGCATCTTGGATTGTTTTGTGTTTTGCAAAATGAAAAAATAAATACATTTTTGTTTAATGAATGGTTTCGTTACTGTGTTGTAAATATTTTCACGCATTAATGGCAAAAAAAAGTTAAATCCCAACTTAAGTATATTTTTATATATATATTTTAATACATATTGAATAATATTATTTTGTCACCACATTTAATTCAAAAATATTTAAAATAATAAAGATGGAAATATTATTTAAATATTTATTAATTCTAATTATATTATTTCTAATATATAGTCCACCATATTCCAGATCTGTCAAACCCAAGCACAAAAGTTTACAAACTATTAATGAATGGTTTCGTTACTGTGTTGTAAATATTTTAATGCATTAATGGCAAAAAAAAAGTTAAATCCCAACTTAAGCATATTAATATATATAAATATTTGATTACATATTCAATAATATTATTTTATATATCACCACATTCCAATTAAAAAATTATATTTAAAATAATAAAGATAGAAATATTATTTAAATATTTATTAATTCTAATTATATTATTTCTAATATATAGTCCACCATATTCCAGATCTGTCAAACCCAAGCACAAAAGTTTACAAACTAAATTATTCATTGCAAATATAGTAGAAATGACAGATTTATTGCATGTAAATGTTTTCTAAGAATATATACAGTTTCAGAATATACAAAAGGGTTTTGAATTCACTCACAAATGTCTGGTCAACAGCGGTGTTATGCATTTATCAGTCAAGTCAAATGGTTAAAGGCTTTAGTTAACATGGTTGAGATGAAACTACAGTCCCAGGATGCTTTAAACTATATTTAGTTAGACAGTACAGTGCTGCTGGAACAACATTAGTAATGAAATATACACACTATTACAAATGAAGCAAATGTTTAGAAGAGAAATATGCATAAGCATTTTATAATGCATCACATTAGCATTAAAACCAGCACTGACCAGCAGTCCAGCTGTTGTTAGATCAGTTTAACGTAACACCATTTTATGCTTATTTGCCAACAAACAAGGAAAAACTCCAGTGCATAGATGAAACTATAATAAATATTGTAAAATACAATGTTACAAGCTTCTAAAGAGACACGTACTTCCCAACAAAAATGTATCGGAAAAAAAAGAGGCTTTAAGCAAAGCACTTTTTATATCTACAACACACTTGACTCACCTTGAGATCCTATTAAATAATAATGATGTTTATGTTTGTTTCTGAAAGACAGTAATTATTGTATTCCAGTTCTGGGTTATGAATGTGCTGGTTTATACAGTCTAGTGCGCAAACTTATATTTATATTAAGGGAATATAACCACCATCATCTGATTAAAGAGACCAACATTATATAAACATTCAGTTCATATCAGCAAATATGTGAGCCTGGAGCACAAAAGCAGTCTTAAGTCGCTGGGGTATATTTGTAGCAATAAAACTACACTGATCTAGAAGTTCTAGAAAAAACGGCATGAGAGGTCACTGAGAGGTCATATGAGTTCGCCTGTCAGTCAAAACCTTCTTATTCTTAATGTTATTCATCAGACTTTTAGGAATTAATATATATAAAAATAACACTTGTTCTCCTGTTTTACATCTCTAATGGTTGAAGTGTGTTTTGGCCTGTCTTACTGATCTGAGACCTGCTCTGCGCTGGTTTCCTGCGGGTCTGTACCGTCCGTCTGCTCTGGGATGGTCTCTGGAACCAGTCCGCTCAGGTCCAGACTCACTCCGGGACTCATCTGGTCTTCTTCTGTGCTTGTCTCACTCTCCTGACTCACCAGAGGAGGGCGCTGTGGTCTGCTTCCTCTGCCCAGATCCTCCACGTCAGAGTCTGAGTCCAGAGAACGCTCCTGAGAACCAGAGGAACCCACAGAACGACCTGAAGAGCGAGAGGAACAAACATACACTTGATCAGACGTAGAACAGCACGATTTATAAAAAAAAAAAAAATCACAGAATATTTTGTGATATTGTGATCTGAACTGTGATATGATGAACATTTGAGCAGTTTACTACTAAACTACTAATTCTAATTCTATCTCTCATTCTAATTAAATTTCTAATTCTTGGTTCAATCCTAATATTAATTCTTATTTCATGAACCTATGGATACATAATATTATTTTATAATATTCAAATGTAAAATATAAAAATGATTTATTATTATTTAATATTTATTTATTCATATTTTTCTAATATATAGGAATACTCTCATATATTTAAAATATTAAACATATTCCAAATCCTCTTATTTCACAAACCCAAGCAAAATAAAAAAACATTAATAAACATAATAATATTTAAAATAATAAAGAAAAATATTATTTAATATATTTAAAAACATAACAATATTTAAAATAATAAAAATATTGAAATATTTATCCCACCACAATTCACAAACTCAAGCACAGGAAGTATTTTATAATATTAATATTTTAAATATTAAAAATCACCAGATCCACTATTTTTTAAATAATATTAATATTTAAATGTTAATAATATGTAAATAAATAAATGTATTAAAATGTAAATATTTGAATACATTTTATAAAGATAAAATATTATTTAAATATTTATAAATAAATACTATTAATTTATTTATTAATAAATATTTATTAATACTAATTATAATTGTTTATATATATATATATATATATATATTTTTACAAACCCAAACACATTTTTCATAATATCAATATTTTAATTAATAAAAAACATTATTTACTATTTATAATTTCTAATATATATGTATCTCACCACATTCCAGATCTGCTCTGTTTGGCTCTTCATGAGTTCCAGTCTCACAGTCCTGAATAAAGGAATGTATTACAATCAGAGCTGAGCACAAAATCACACACGGCATCAGAAATGCGCTGTGATCAAACCCCATCAATCCTCAATCACTGACACTCCTGTATAAACCTGCACACTACATCAGATCAAATATGAATCAGTGCAGACCTGGCTCTGGCCTGGAGAGCTGACTGAGATGAAGATGTCCTGCTGGAAGACGATCAGAGCCTCTACGATGCGCGCCTGATGAGGGTAATCCACCAGAGACGACAGGGACACCGTGGCTCCGGTGGGTTTGGGTCTCATCAGGGTCGGGCCGAACACGATGCCTAAATTACTGGCGCTCATTTTATTATCTTGCTCCAACTCAGACACTCTGACAGAGAGAGAGAAAAAAACAAGAACTTTTCATTAATATTATTACATCAATGTTTTATATTCCCTGATAAAATTCAGCAAACTTCATAAACAACATTTTTCTCATTTTTATATTCATACAGTCACAGCACCTAAAATGCAGTCTCATATATATGAAAATCTTGAAATTGAAAATAAAAGTTCATGTTATTTGTCAACTACCAAATTATTTTTTTTTAGTTGCTTTTTTTTGTCTGCTGAAATCCTATGGTTTAAATTGTTAGGTTAAAATGGCTTTAATAATTTATTCAAGTATTAAAATATTAATATTTAAACTATTAAATTATTATTAGACTATTAGACTCAAATTATAAAAATTATAAAACTTAAATACTTAAAATATTAAATTATTAATGACTTTTAAAAATATAGATACAAATATTATTCATAAAATTGTTTTGCTGAACTCCTATGAATTACATGATTAAAAAATTGACTTAAAATATAACTTCAAATCATTAAAAAAAATATTATAAAATATTATTAATACAATTGTTTATATTTTTATAATTATTTAATTATTCAAATTATAATTATTATTAAATAAAGTACCCTCTAAGAGTTAGTAAAGTTATATGCTTCCTATAAATATTTTATGATGCATTTAAAAATATTTTATCACATTTTTCTAAGGTTTACAGCAAAGTGGCAATATTTTATTTTAATATTAATATTATTAATAATTATTATGAATTTAATATGCAACTTAGGTTTACTTATACCTTAAAGAATATAAATAATTTCTATACATAATTTAATATGGCACTGACATTTCTCAATGTCAAAGAACCTCCTTCAGTTTCTTTGTGAATCAAAACCCTGCGTATGTTATGAATCTGTTTCTTAACCTCTTAATTGCCACCAGCCCACCGGTGGGCCCGTTGCTGCTCTTTTTTCGTTGTCTTTTTTCTCTGTCACATATCTTAGTAATAATCATAAATTACATATCATTTGAAAGCTTAAAACCTAAAAATTCATCCTGTGAAAACCATTTTGAAATCGGATTTTGAAATTGCGTTACCATGGAAACATACCACCTTAGTGGGTGGAGTCAGGTGTCATATTACAAAATGTATTATGGTCTTTTAGAATCAAAACTTTTTATAATCTTGACAAAATACATATCGTCGGAAAGGTCTGAGTCTCAAGATTCCATTATTTGGTGGTTATTTTGTTATAGAAGTAATATTGCCAGAGATATTTAGACATTTGTGCCAGAAAAATTAAATGGAGTTTTGATGGCACCTGGTGGCTGTTTGTGGTATAACGCCCTAAATAAAATCTCTCAGGAACCTACATTTTTTTTATATCAACTTCAAATTTGGAACATAACTTATTTAGACATAAGGCTTTCATTTTATAGCAATTTTGGATTCAAAAATATTTTGAAAAATATTTATTTTATATAAAATA